TATTATTTCTTTAAAAATCAGAAGCGTTTTGTACTGTAGCTTGGCATTTTGAAACGACAAAAAACATGACATGCTGGCTAAACGGATTCAGAAATTAAATCCGTTTTCAGTCAGTTTGGTTCCAGATCTCGTGACAGACGGGTCAGAACCGTAGAACAGCCTGGAGCTCATGAACAATCCCGGGCCGTTGGAGGTGATGAGAGGAGGAAGAGGAGGAGGAGGAGGAGGAGGAGCGTCTTACCTTCATCCATGGGATGCGAGACGGGGAGCCGTGGGATCCTTCAGGCATCACCTGTCTTCCATAAACGGACCGGCTGACGGGAGAACTGACGACCTGGAGCGAACAGAACCACAGCGTGAATCCACCTGCAGCAGGTGAGGCAGGTCACATGACCCGCTGCGTCTGCAGGGTAAAAACATGAGGGCAAAACAGGAAGGGCAACAGAGAGCCAGACGGACCGGACCGGACCGGACCGGTTATTTGGTTCCCCCAAAACAACATATCCACTCCAGATGCTTTATAGTATGTGTGGAGCATAGCTGCTATCATTAGCATCATTGGTAATTAACTTATATTACATCAGTTGTTGTGGCTTATATATATATATATATATATTCACACACACAAAGGAGCGCCGCAATCCACCATGCTGGCTCGATGCTCTTGGGGTCATTTCAGTACCACAAGCTCTGGCGGTGCCGCTAAACTCGCATTGCCTAAGGCCGGCTCTGTTAAAAACTGTTTCCTGGAGCGTCATGGAAAAACTTCCCTCTGAAAAGAGGTTTGCATTTAAAAACAGAAACACTTTGAATAAAATTAAAAGATTTAATGTCAGAGTGAAACAATAATCCAGTGTCTGTAAAACACTGCAGACGATCTACAGCCAAAATCCAGTTTTTCCTTTTATTCTCTTTTTTTATTTATTATTCATTTCCTAAACTCTAATAAAATGTTGCAAATTACACAAAAGTTATTTGCAGCAACAGTTAAACTGGATGAAAGTTTGATCCATGAATAAAACTCTGGTTTAGTCGTTGACTCAGAACAAAAGCATCAAATGTAATAATTTATTTCAGGAAAATCAAAACATATTTAAAGTTTTCAAGAAACATATTTCCAGAACTATCTTATCCATGAAAGCAAATTTTTAGAGATAAATCACAAAAATTCTGAATTATGGTTAAAATTTCCACATATTTCCAAACACCCAAATGGGAATGGAGGAAGCTGGATGGACTGGTGAGACTCTCAGGCTGCAGGTTTTCCCATATTCTGTTTTCTTGGAAACATTTTTGTTTGTATTTTTCCTCTATGCCCATATTTGTTTCCTTCCAGCTGCCAGAATGAGTTCATTCAGACCCAAAGCATGACTGAGCATGCTCAGATTGCATCACATCAGATTGCAATCAGTTACCTTGGCAACACTTGACAAGCTCTTCAAGTCAGACCGTCTTAAAAGTTGGACTACTTCACGATTTACTTGCCCTTTGGATGTCTTCAAAAATCTTTCATCCAATGCCAACAAACTTCCGCTTTCATAATCCCCATTTATGATTTTTCAGGCTTCTTTGCAGCAACAAAAGCATCATCACGTTTGTTCACAGATTTATCTGAAACTACTCGACAATCGGTTGTTTCCGGCTGCATGCATTTTACAAACCAGCAGCGTAATCTGATAAAATCCGAGGAATTTGCTCCCATTGGGCCGCTGCGGCTCGGCGCTGCGCTGAAGGAATGTATCAGCAGGTGGCTCTAGACAAAATAGGAACAATGAAAATGTGTTGACAATAAAAGATAAGTTGTACACAAAACCCTTGCCGAATTAGAAGTAAAATACTTTTGGTCAGAAAGTCATCATGACTTTTCCCATGAGGTAGTTTTTTGTTTTGAAAAGCTACGTGTTTCTAAATCACCAGTTTTCCTGAGGAGGTTCTGCATGGAGCATCCAGGGGCGGGAGAGCCCCACCTACCAGCTCCGGTTCGGGTTTAAACTCGCAGAGATTCAGAAAAACTTTAAAGTTTGCAAAACTGAAACCGGACAGACTCTCTGGTTCTGACCCAATGACTTCATTGCCTAAAGGGGAGCGGAACCAGATGTGTGTGGCAGCCTGGACAGAACCGCGCACGCTCCGAACACCCGAGCCCAAAACCCCCCGGAACCGGACCAGCGACCCAAACCCCCGACGCGGGACGCTGAGCCGAACATGCGGACTCACCTGAGCGCAGAGAAAATCCACAGAGACCCGCAGCGTCAAAATCCAACTCAACTGTTTCCTCAAAGTCCGAGGGTCTTTTCTAGTGCGCATGCGCACCATTTAAAACTACCAAAACTGAGAAATAACAACAAAAACAAAACAAAAGAGAAAAACCCAGAATAAAACCCTGTTGTAATTTCAAATGTTGCAGGACCAAAACCAAAACTGGAGCAGATTTAAAAAATATATTAATAGTAATATTAATTAAACACACCTGCAGTACTGGTTGGTTAACCAGAAGAGGGCAGCAAAGATTGCAATTAAGTGACCATGCTGGGCGAAAATCACCTTTTTAAAATCAAACAAATTTAAGATTCAGACAGAAAATCCAAGAAAATAGAGACAAAAAAATTCCAAATCAAAATAGGTATCCAAACCAACTTGGGCCTAAATGAAACATTAATGGTTGCATCACGAACAAACAGGAATAAAACCAGTTCTTCAAACAGGAAACGGTTCACAAGGCAGCCTGTGGACTGACAAAACAAAAAATGTACCGATCTGGAAGGTTTGGAGTAAAACTAACAGCATTTCAGAACTACAACATCATATTCACAGTCATACATGGAGGCGGTAGTGTGATGCTGTGGGCTGTTTTACTGGACCTGGAGGATTTGGTGTAACTGACAGAACCATTAATTCTGCTCTGTAGTAAAACAATGATCCACCACACGCCAGCAAGTCCAACACTGAATCTCTATGAAAAGAAAATAAATATTTAGGAGTGGCCTAGTCAAATCAACACCTCAACCTGATGACCTTACAGTCCCCCAAACAGAGCGGGTCCAAACTCCTCCACTGCTTCACCAGTTTTCACAAACGCTCGATGGAACCAAGCAGGAGCAGAACAGGAATCAGGTCTAAGTGTGATTCCTTTTTCCACACGGGTCCAGATTGGTTCTGAGTTTTTCCCATTAATAAATTAAATCATCATTTAAAAAATATTTTTTAAACTGAACTTAAAAACTGAAGAACTCTGAAAGGGGGTGAAACTTTTTGGACTGGTGAGGATTCTGCTCCCAAACAAACAAACAGAGACGCTGCGTGAAAACTGGAAAACTTGATAAAAAGATTGAGAATTTCTGCAGAAATTATTGATATGAAATCAAACTGATTGCCAAAGCAGATGATAAACTTAAACATCACGTTTTAAAGGATCTTTAAAGTTTTGCTTCAGTGAGTTTCAAACTGTTTGACGTTTATGCGACTAAATGTATCCCACAAATGGGATAAAACATGTTTTGCTTCTTTCCTGGTAACTTTGTGAAAAGTTAGAAACATGTTTGCGACTCCTCCTTTCCAGCGGCTGCTTCCTGCTTCTGGACACAAACAAGTTTGGCAACATGTCTGCGCTCTGCCTGGAGATGTGAGAACACAACGTTGCACAACATGAAGCGACATCAGGCGAGTCTCAGCCTGTTGGAGAACAAAGACACAAACACCACTGAAACCAGTTATCTGCCTGCTCCTTTCAAAATAAAAGCCTCTTTCCTCATCCTCCAGGGTCGGCGAAGAGCATAAACACTTTCACAGAAAAACTCTTTATGATTTTAAACAAAAACAGTGAATAAATTTGGAGGTTGGAAATAAAAACAAACAAGTCATCAGCATAAAGTGAAACATTTTATTCAGTGTGACATTTCTGGAAGTCCTGAAGGTTTTTTATTGTTCAAATGGATGTTGGGAAAGTTAACTATGAAGGACCTGTAGAGTTTCTTTATGTAGAAAAGTTTTCAATTTTGATCATTATTGTAAATTGAGGCAATGGGAGGAGATGGAAGTACTTGACCTTGACACACAGACAACACCTGGAGAACATGTGGAAAAAACTTAAATTAATAATTGATGGAAGGAGCTTAAACTCAGAGGAGTCTTGCATCAGCTGGAGGTTTTTGGACTTCCTGAAAGAATTACAGAAAAACAAAATTTCAGGATATTTTTTCAGTCCATCATGAATAAAACGGATGAGTTTTTATCGTCTCTCCTGGACAGAATGTTTCTACTTTTAGCATTATTCCTGAGATGAGGAAAAGAAAATCCTAGAAACAACCAACAAAATGTTTTTTTAACAATATGTTGGAAACTATGTGATTTTTTAAATTTTACATCATGTTACACAAATAAATACTCCACATTACATCCAGTGTCAAGTACAGTGGAGGCTCTGTGATGCTGTGGGTTTGTTCCTCTTGTAAAGACCCTGGGTTCACTGCTTTATATCAGAAGATTTAAAAGCATTTTTCCTTCCACTCAACTTTCTACAAATATGCTTGGACACAGCCAATGTCTTCAGCGATGCTAGAAAAAGGTAAAAACTCTTGTTGACTTAAAGGAGAGGCGACATTTCTGGATTTAATTAAATGCAAACTCAGGCCTGCTGGGTTTTACTGCAGCAGCTCTGAACGTCTCCGGCTCAGTCCGAAAACACGAGAACTTCAGCTTCCAACTCTTACACATGTTCTCATCAGGATTCATGTCTGGACTTTGACTAGGTCATTGTAACACTTTGATCTAAATTTAGAGCCATCCATCTTCCCATCAAATCTCAAAGCTGCAGCTCTTGCTTTGGCACCTTTGACACTTTTTCCTTCCACTCAGTTTTCTATGACTTTGCTTTGATCCAGCACTCTCAATAATGTTCCAGTTTGTCAAAGCCTACAGTACATAATGTCATTTCATTATGTCAAATGAATAAAATGATCTGAGAGAGATGGAAACTGCAGGAAGCAAAAAGCACACAGAAATTTCTTAAGTAAAATTTTTATTAAACTTCAAAACATTTCAGGATATTTGGTCCTGAACTAAAAACTGAAATGAAAACTGAGGCTTGACATGTTAAAAATGAAAGGTTGTACAGAGTTTCCTTCTCCTGTCGATGGATTTGGACTGAGTAAGATGACGTGTACCTCCATACGATGTGCAACAAAACGAACCGACCCTGAGACCCAAACACGGATTCATGAACCTGTTCAGACCAGCAACTGTCTGAGCCTGACAAGCGTCAGAAATAAAATCCAGATTTCAGTATTTTCACAAATTCAACCTGAAACAGGAACGCTTCAGGAAAACGACCCACATGGAGAAAAAACAACAGAATTTAAAGGAAAAGGACACAAAAAGACAAAACCAGGAGCTGGATGAGGCCATTTGCCGGGTTGCCATGATTCCATCAGGCAGGCTTGGTGGTGCTGTTGTAGACCAGCGTGTCCTGCTCCGACAGCGCCGCCATGGGGGGGCCCGCCGACCGGCCGGGGCCCGCCGACCGCCTGGGGGCCTTCCTGCGCCTCCGCAGGTAGCAGTACCCCACGATGGCCAGCAGGGCCAAGATGCCCACCGCCAGAATCACAGCCAGGGCGACGGAGCCTGGAGGACAAAACAGCGAGGTCACTTCCTGTCAGACAGCAGGAAGGTGGCAGAGCGCGCGCTACACTTAAACATTTACCACCATCCTGAGGAGGGACAAAACAGCTGGTAAAATCTAAGAACGCTTCCTCTGCAAACTGGAGGCTGATGCTAATGCTAATGCTAGCATTGGATGAACAGATGATTCGGCGACCACCGAGGTATCCGGTTAAAACTCGAGACACAAGCGAAGCCTGATTTTTGATGCCTTCGCACCAGATCTTACAGACAGCACAAATTTTACAGATTTTGTGCTGCAAAGGTTTGGAGTGGAACATGGAATGGACAAGCGTCAAAGATAAACCAAGCTGCAGGCACATCTGAGAGACACGCCTCTGTAAGCCACACCCCTCTGTAAGCTACGCCTCAGTGAGACACGCCCCCTGTAAGCCATGCCCCTGAGACACGCCCCTGAGACACACCTCTGACAGACACATCTCTGTGAGACACGCCCCTGTGAGACACGCCTCTGTGAGACACGCCCCTGTAAGCCATGCCCCTGAGACACGCCCCTGACAGACATGTCTCAGTGAGACACGCCTCTGTGAGACACGCCTCAGTGAGACACGCCTCTGTGAGACACGCCTCTGTGAGACACGCCCCTGTGAGACACGCCTCTGTGAGACACGCCCCTGTGAGACACGCCTCAGTGAGACACGCCTCAGTGAGACACGCCTCAGTGAGACACGCCCTCTGTGAGACACGCCTCAGTGAGACACGCCCCTGTAAGCCATGCCCCTGAGACACACCTCTGACAGACACATCTCTGTGAGACACGCCCCTGTGAGACACGCCCTCTGTGAGACACGCCCCTGTGAGACACACCTCAGTGAGACACGCCTCAGTGAGACACGCCTCAGTGAGACACGCCTCAGTGAGACACGCCCCTGAGACACACCTCTGACAGACATGTCTCTGTGAGACACGCCTCTGTGAGACAAGTCTGTGAGACACGCCCCTGTAAGCCACGCCCCCTTTAGGTCTACAATGGTTGCATGAATGGATGAATAACGTTTGGATGATGGTTGCTGTCTCCTCTGGTTAGAGCAGCTTCTTCCTCATACTGTCTCCATGAACCAATCAGCAGTTTTGCAGAGGTCAACGTGTTGATGGATTTTATTTGGGGGTGTCAGAGTCCTATAAATGGACGCTGCATTATGAAAACGTCACAGCGTTTATCAGATAAAAGGCCGGTAAATATCTAAACTCCATGAAGTCTGACCTGAACCTGTCAGGGTCAGTCGGTTTATGAGGAACGTACCTGAACCTGCAGCTTTTTCATCATCATCATCATCAGAGCCGAACCGATCAAACATCCCCCTGGAGAACATGTTGCTCTCTGCAGAAACACAAACAGACCTCAGTTTCCTTCAGGAGTCTGGGCTGAAAACCTGTTTGATATCAGTCTGTCAATAATTACTGAGTTTTATCTTAAATATCTGACATACCATGTAGATATAGATCATGTGTCTAATGCGCTATAGACAGTTATTGATTGTTCAGCTGCAGCTGGACCGCATTAAGTCTGATCTAGCTACAGCTCAGCCGTTCTCCTGGTCAACATTAGCTGGAAAAAGTTACTGGTTCTGGTTCTGTTGGGTTTCTAACCGTCCTGATGTCCTCCAGACGTTCTGCGGCAGAGTGGAGGTTCTTGAAGTCTGATGATTCGTCTCGCTTTGTGAGTCAATCATGTCTTTACCTGTTACTCCGTCGCAGGTCTCGCTGCATTCGTCCTCGTCCTCGAAGTTGTTCCCGTTTCCGTAGCAGCCACCGTAGATGAAGCGAACGCACTTCCTGTCTTTGGGGTTGTAGTACCAGCGGTGGAAGTGCGCCCGACACGGGCCGGTGCGAGGAGGCTCCACGCATTGAACTGCAGAGAACCAAACGGACCTGGGTCAGAATCCAACCCAATTTCTGCTGGAGGACCGGAGGAGAAACTCACGCTTGAGGTCGCTGACGTTGACGCTCAGCAGGCGGTTGAAGGTGTGGCTCACTGGAGACGAGAGAATCATTTCTCTGTCTTTTAGCTGCCATGTTTCCAGGCACTACAGGCTACACTAACGCACCAATCACAAACATCAGTCTGAAACGTGTGGTCTTGAAACTCAGCACATCACTTCACCTCATCCCAGTTTACCTAACTGGCTCTTCTGATGCTGAACTGCATTCTGAACATTTGTAACTTTGCTTTGCTTCCATTTCTAATGCGACACAGAGGTTTTCAATGCTTTATGAATGCATTGCTTTCCTGTCTTTAACTCTGGACTTTGACAGGAAAGTCGGAGCTGATAGATGAACTGATCCTGTGTGTGATTACATTTGCTGCAGAGCTTTTCATCAGAGCCGTCGCTGCATTGGTTCACACCGTCACACTCCAGAGCCCGGTCCAAACAGCAGTCGTCATCACAGGTCAGCTGATCGGGGCGGCACGGTGAGCCGCACTCCTCTGCACACGCACACACACACACACACACTTAGGCCAAACCCTCCCACAGTAAGCTGATATGAAGAGGTGTGTAGTTGGACTCACTATTGGTGTTTACAGTGATACTCCTTTCTGAGGAAACTGAGGACAAAAGAGCGGATTGTGTCACCAGGTGCTGGTTTGTGGCATTAACATAAACGTGTGTGTGTGTGTCTGTGTGTGTGTGTGTGTTACCTGTGACTCCTCTGCAGGCCAACATACACTCTGCATTATACAGGAAGTTGTTCTTGTTGGGCAAACAGCCTCCGTAGGTAAACTTCTCACAGCTGCGCGTCGTTGTGTTGTAATACCACCGAGGGAACGCTGCGCGGCATGGGCCGGTCTTTGGCGGAGCCAGGCAGTACGCTGAGGGAGAGCATGACATCACTTCCTGAGAGTGGCTTCAAACATAACCCAGATTAAAGCGCAGCCTGCTGAGCAGCTGGGTTTAAAGACGAACCCACAGCAGGGCGTGTTGAAGGAGTGCTGCGCTGTTGACCTGTGGCTGCCATGGAGCTGGGACTGATCAGAACCAGGATCAATACTCCAACACATCACAAACCGTTCAATAAAACTAAAACGATACTCAGATCACAGAGCCGACCTGGCAGAGCAAGTTCTGTGCTGAGCAGGCCTTGTGAAACTGTGTGTGTGTGTGTGTGTGTGTGTGTGTGTGTGTGTGTGTGTGTGGGTGTGTGTGTGTGTGTGTGTGTGTGTGTGTGTGTGTGTGTGTGTGTGTGTGTGTGTGTTAAATAACCAGTCCAGCCAGTATGAAGAGAGGCGTTGATGATCAGTTTGAAAACTGGGATTCAGTTCAAACATTAGCAAAACAAATGCAATGATTCTGTTTTTCACTGCAACTAAAAGCTGCAAATTATAAAAAAGTTTTTAAAACTTTAACTGTTAGCATCTGAAGTAAAGAGTTCAGAAACCAATTAAATCAATTATTTGTGCCAATATCACTATTTAAATGTAACTTTACTGTCAGTAAGTCCTTTAAACAGTCAACAGTTAGAGCCGCAACAGGACATTTACCAGTTAAACCATTAAGTGACTGGGAGCAGACCCCTCAGAAACCAATGGGAGGTCACCACAACAGTTAGTAGATCCCTGACAGGGTCACCTGACAGGAGGTCTCTCCTCAAAGCCTTTTGCAGATGAGAGTGGATCCTTCAAAGAACCAATGAAAATAAAGAAATCGCTTCAGTTCAAAACAAATGCATAAACATTCCTTAAACAGTGAATCTGGGTTCATTAAATGTTTCACTGCCTGCCAGTAGAACCCAACGGAAACCTTCAAATGGCCAGTCAGAAGTTAGTAGATCCCTAAAGTTTGCCAGTTAAACTTTCAGGGACCGATAGGCAGTGGATCCCTCAAACCGCCCTGCAGGTTTCAGACATTTCCCTTCAGCTGGTTTTAACTGCTGGCTGCTGAAGCAGCTCAGCGTTTAAACCATGCAGAGCGCCGTGGCGTCTAAACAATGAACGGATGAGAAGAGATCCATTAAACCAGGCCGACCCAGATTATCAAACCTGGAAAACGACATGCCTCAAATAATCCACCAACAGGCAGCAGATCCTTGAAGTTTACACCTTAAACCATCAACTAAACGTCAGTCGATCCATCAGAAGAACAACAAACTTTGTGACCAGGAAGTAGATCCTGTTGGAAATGAATCGATCCCTCCAGGTCAGAACTGACTCAGAAGATTCCTTAAAAGGTTTCCTGCCTGGCAGCAGATCGCTTTAACACTCCAGCAACCGGGAGACGATCCATCGAACCAGTCTGTCAGCAAAACCCGGAGCTTCAAGAAATCCGTTTTATGATCAACTATTGCTGAAATCATGAACTGACCGACTTTAACTTTATGAACAAACTGCTAAATCCTCGAAAGGAGCGATCTGAAAACAGACGTCATGCTAAGCTAAACAGTCAATCTGCTCAGTTATCAACAAAGTGTTTGATCCTGTGGATCAATCAGCAGCAGCGAGGCCTACATTTCCCATGAGCACTCACAGATGGACAGCTCTGGGGTGAGGACCTTGACGGTGGTCGTGTCATGGCTGCTCTTCCCCTTGGAGTCTGTGACGGTCAGCTTCAAGACGTAGGAGCCCGGCTGCAGGTCGGAGAGCCTCACCTGGTCGTCATGGTCGGTCTTCTGCAGACAGTCAGAGGAAAATGGCACAACGTGAAGGTCCGGTCCGCAGAGAGACGCGACCTCTAATACGACCTCATCAGAGGAGACAGAGGAGCCAACGGTAAAAAGTATCCGTCCAAAAAATTAAGAGCAAAAAGTATCTGTTCAAGTATTAACCAAATTATCAATCAATCAATGTTTAAAAATTGGACCAAAGATAAAGTTAAGTGACAATAATTAATATCAGTGGAAAAATCAGGCAAAATAAAATGTTTCCAAATCAGTTTCTTTGAATAAAACAAACTTCAGAAGCTGCAGGTGTTTGTTTTTCATTCAGTCGGAAGAAAATACAGAAATTTTACTCCAGAAAGAGCAGAAATATTTTATGATAAATTTTCCCAAACAAAATAAAAGTACAGAGTAGATTACTCAAGTAAATGTAACTGAGTAAAAGTAACTAGTTACTACCAGCTCTGGCAGTCACTAGAGCTGGACTCTGGGACTGGACTCAGGAATTGGGCCAGCAGTTCCACTGAACGCATCAGACCAGGTGAAGCCCCGCCCCCTGCAGGTGTTACCTCCAGCTTCAGGCTCTGGTCTCCGCTCTGCTGAGTCCATTTGTAGTCGGAGATCTTAGCCTGGTGCAGTGGCATGCTCTCGGAGCCGTTGAGCGTCACGTTCTCTCCGGGCTGAAGGACAACGTCAGGGCCGGCGTTGGCGATGGGCGGAGCCAGCTCACCTGGGAAACAGCAGATGTTTACGACACGGCTGAGACTGAAACGACGTTTCCTCTGGAACAAACACTTTCAGATGAATGTTTTCTCCTTGTTAAAGGGACAGGTCCACTCAGAGACAGAATCAGCTGACTTACAGTGGACATCTCTCCTGGTGTCTTCACTTCATCAAACTTCAAAAAGAGACATGTTAGCAATTTGTCAACTGATTTAAGATGAAGAATATGAAAGCTGCAATGCAAAAAAAACATGAAGGATGCAAACTCCAACAAATTCTGCAAACACAAGAAATGGAAGCAAAAAAAAAAAAAAAAAAAATCAAAAATTAGAAACGCTGTAAACTGTCTCTACAAAACAGAGGTCCTCCAGACCACTAGGGGGAGTCTGGAGCAACTTTTAGTGCCATAATTATGCTGCTTTCATAAAATTTTGAAGAAGACATGAAGAGTTTTGTGATTGTTCTGTCTTTCTCAATGTTTCTTTTGAATATTCTGTCCTTACTGAGCTCTGGTCTCGTGTGATTTGGTGGTGGACTCCCTCTAGTGGCCTGGAGGACTTCCTTTTGTAGAACCAGTTTGGAGCATTTCAGTGTTTTTCTATTTGCACCTGTCATCAACATCAGAAAACTGACGTAACGTTGCAATAAACGCCAATAATACACATTTAGCAGCCATGTTGGATTTGGGACAGAATTTCACGTAGGAAATTTCACTTCCTACGTGAAATTTCAAATTCACAAAACTATTTATTATTGCAGTTCAGCATTAATGACCTTGAAGAACAAACAACATGCAGTGTTAGCCAAGAAAATCAGCATCACGTCACAAGGACACAACATATTCCCAATTCTTGGTCTAAATCTACGTAAATAATCTCAAAGATAACGCCGACTCCAGAGTCTCCAAGAACAGAGATGAAATCAGCCAGGTTTTGATCCCAGACCTGAAAACGCTCATCGTCCTTCAGTTTGATCGTCTTTCTCAAGTTTAACTCATTTTAAGGAAAATGGAGAACGTTTCAAATTCTGGCTGCTGGTGTCTAAACCAGTTTATAGACTTTAAACGGAAAAGCTGTGCCATTTTAAGATTTGTAAAGTGATTAGTGATGACAGTGATGAGGCTCACTGCCCAGGGCAGAATGCAGCCAGGGGCGTCACGCACGCTGCGGGTTTTAAAATGCATCTATCTGCAGGCAAGAAGTTTCCTTTGGATGTCTACTTGTGGAGGATGTTGGTATTTCAGCTAAATGAAGGAGCCTGTCTCTTTAAAACGCTGATATAAAAGCCCAACAAAAACTAAACAATTAAAGGCAGATTGAGTTTCTTAAAAAGTTTTAAAATACAATTACTGATTGACAAAGAACATTTAAATAAATCAGTTCTGGATCAATATTTTTGCTGAATTAAAACTACTTCCGGTGTTTTCTCTCTGGTGATTGTTGCTATTGATTAGGTATTGATTGGCGTTAGCGCCCTCACCTGGTGCCTCCAGGTATCTCTGGTGGGTGCTCGTCCTAATGTAGCTCTTGTATCCGGCCTGGTTCACGAACCGACACACGAAACGGTTTTTATGGACACAGTCAAGCAGGAAGCACGTGCGCGTCTCCTGCTCCTCGTCGCGCGGCTCCAGCAGCGCCAGGTTGCAGCGTGGGTCCTTACAGCACTGCGTCTCGCACTCCTCATCCACGGACACGGCCTGCGTGCCCAGCAGAGCGGCGCCGTCCTCCACCGCGTCCTTCGCGTCCAGGACGAAGTTCTCAGTGCCGGAGACGAACGCGTCGCCGCCGCATTGCTCCGCCGCGCCGCGCCGCGCGCAGCTAAGCAGAACCAGCAGCAGCAGAGAGGAAGTACCGAACCGGAACATTTCCAGTCAGCTCGAACTGACGGGGAAAACGGAGAAGAGTCCGACAGAAAACAGGAAGGCTTGAGGCGCTCCTCAGCGCGCGCTGCTTTGGTGTGTCTCACCTGTTGACAAAATACACAGCAGACCAATAAGGTGACGCGCCTCTGACGTCACTCAGGTGTGGCCCACAGAAAGCAGAGGCCAGGTTTCAATCGATGACACTGCAGGAATGGATCCCACTGTGAGCGGATCTCACCGTGGGATCAGCACAAACCTGGAGAGAAAAGCAAAACTTTTCATGCCGTTTTAAAAATAAGAAAATAATAAATCTACACATTGGCAAGTTTTCTCTCCAGTGCCTAGAAACAGATAAGCAGATTTCAAAATTCAGGTGATTTTTCTGGTTCATCCAAAGTCACAACAAATAGATATATGTTTATTTTAAAATAGATATATGTTTATTGTTTGTTAGTGCGTTATCTCTCAATGGCATTCAATCTAAACAAAAATACATTTTTGTAAAAAAACAAGAAGTTTTATTACATTTTTTGGTTAGTTTTTGTCTTATTTTGTATTATTAATCTTAGTTTGTTTTTATTGTTATTTTATTTCATCTTCAACAAAATAATTTGAAAAAGAATGACTAGTAATTATAATTGGAATAATATTAATACTCCTGCTTATAATTACTTTATTATTATTATTAACTATTTTGAGTTGTACACATTTTCTTTCTCTTTCCTTCTTTTTTTAATATATCAAAAAATTATACTCACTAACATAAGTTAATTATGACTGTTGATGAGAAAAATATTGGAACAGCTTAAGCACAGTATAATTAATACTTTTATCCATCCATCCATCCATCCATCCATCCATCCATCCATCCATCCATCCATCCATCCATCCATCCATCCATCCATCCATCCATCCATCCATCCATCCATCCATCCATCCATCCATCCATCCATCCATCCATCCATCCATCCATCCATCCATCCTTAATATTTATGGTGCAATACCAGTTATAACCAGTAGAGGCGGTGCAGCGCACTGGGGCCACTCATATGCGCCAGAGGAAGTCAGCAAGCGCCTGTGACGGGAGCGGGTTGTTTGAATCTTGTTTTGGTCTTTTTCATAACACTTCCGGTAAGAAAACTTGTTATAATATTGTTTTGTAATGAATACTTGAAGCAAAACGCGAATCCTTTCTTCGCTGGTGGTTACTGAAAGCGCTCGAGTCTCTAACGGTTCCTTCGAACGACTTTAATCCACTCCTCTGACATTTTCAGCCGAATTTCACAGAAAAACCGACAAACTTTAGTATAAATGTGATTACTGACATTAAGAACGCCAACATTTGTAACTCTAAACGTAAATACGGCCTAATACAAGCTCTTTATCAAATTCGGCGCAGAATAAACAACCACAAAGTGATGATTTCCATAAAATCGGAGGGCTGAATCCCAAATCCAAGTTACTGAATAAACCGGTATTTTCCAGGTATCCTGGACTTATTTATCGTGGTGGTTTATCCCCTGCAGCTATCCTGCTCCATGCCAGGCTAAATTCATCCTGGTTCCTTATTAAGCGCACTGTCAGCGGACAGACCGATCAATGTTCCGTTTTCTTTTGTAACATTATGGCTTAAAATATCACTGACTCATGTTGGCAGCTGTATTATTACTTCAACATTACGTGCATTGTAACTGTTCCATTACGTTTCTGAAAACTGCTGTTGTTCTAATAATGTTTACAACCTAAATTAACTTTAGTTTTGGCACATTATCAAACAAATGAACAGTTTGAGTCACAATATTTCAGACATGTACTTATTTCCGTCATAAACGTACCTTGTGTGTCTATAAAGAGGGCTGCCGAAAGCTACGTACATGTTATCTCCGTTAGTTTATCTTCTTTCTTCGGTTTGCCGTTAAGTTGCCTTTGCGCTGACCGTTAAGCGGGAAGTTGCACCTTCAGAATAAAAGCATGACGACTCAAACAGGAAGTTTGCCAGAGTTAGAAGTGAGTAAAGGAGATAGGCACATTTTTAAGGGTTTTGTCTTTTTTTTAAAGGTAATTTTTGCACAAATGGCTTGTACATTCTTTCTTTTTATTGTTTTTACACCATGACTTGAATATTCAACAAATTTGGAGATGAGCTTGTTGATTATTGGTTAGTGATTGACTCTTTGGTTTCTGATCGATGCAGGTGCGGAGATGGAAGAATTGTTGGTCAGCTCTCAGTAAGTGAAATCTGTCAAAGTTAAAGCAGAGCAGCTTTAAAATGAAATATTACAGTTTACTAGTTGTGATTTAAAGAACCAGTTGAACTTTAAGTATTATAGATTATAAATCAAATTATTTGTATAATTCTGCTGATTCCAGTTAATAAAAAAAAACCATAAAATTTTAAATGTTTACAGTATTACACATCACTAAAAATTATATATTTTTAAAATAGAAATAATAATTTATGGTCATAAAGAAGACAGTTGTCACATGTTTGACAAGAATTTAAACCTCTAATAGTAATAATTAAAGAAACTGGCAATATTTCAATTCATTACTGGAAAGTTGAGTGGATGGAAAAGTGGCACAAACAATATTTGTTTTTAATCAACTATTAAAACAAATATAAAAAACATTTAAAATGTGACATTCAGTGTGCAATATAAGTTAAAAAAATTTAAATAAATGATCTGTTTGATGGTTGCAGATCAGCCAATGAGAGCACAGGGCAGGTGAACATGGGGGCGGGGCTTCAGGATGGGGGCGGGGCCAGCCAGTGGAGCCCTTACTGTAAAGAGGACCTGATGAGAGGAGGGGAGGAGCTGTGCTTCGAGGAGCTGCGGGCCGAAAGATACAACCAGCAGAAACAGAAGGAGATGGAAGGTGCGTTCGCTGTCCTCATGAGGCCTTCACTGCCTGTGGGAAACGAGAGTTAGCGCTTCAGTTTCAGCTTCTGGTTGCTTCCTGCAGAGAAGATGAGACGCCTGAAGGAGCAGCAGGAGCAGTTGAGTCAGGAGCTGGAGGAGAAGAAGAGGCTGCTGCTCAGAAAGTCCCAACAGGTGGGTTCTGATCCGGTTCTGGTTCTGCTCATTGAGTACGGCAATGGACTCAGTTCTCTTTCTCCTGTCAGATCAGCAACGCAGATCCACCTGCTGCTGCTCCCTTCAAAATACTGGATGAGTCTGGTTTCGAAGAGTCCGCCAGGTAACCAACCATAACCGACTAGAATCGGACCGGAACCAGAACTCCCCCGTCTCACCATCTGACACTGTTCTGCAGGAGGTCGGATCCGTCCTCAGACGAGCTGCCAGATGACGTCTTCCTGCGACCCGATGAGAAGGGACTCTGTGTGAGGGTCCAGTTTCCAGCCCGACCCGAACAGAACCACCAGCAGAACCGGCCACCAGGTGACCAGAACCGTTTTATATTCATGTTTCTTGATCTTATGATTTTTCTGAATTTTCTGACTTTATTCTCATTTCATGACAACTTTATTTAATATTACAAGAATAAAGTCAAAATATTCTGATAAAAAAAATTGCATCATAATATCTTGAATTTATTCTCATGATTGTAGAACTTAAAACAAAATTAACTGTATTTTCTTAATATTACTTTTAAAAAGTCATAACACAATAACAAACTATTATTAAAAAATAAGATTTTGACTTTATGCTTGTAAAATTGCAACTTTATTCTCAAATTATTACAAAATTATCTAGTAATTTAAAAATGAACATTTTTAGCCTGTTTCCAATATTCCGTTGTCGAATTCAACACAAACATGCAGAAGAGACTGAATGTTTTATGAATGATGGAAAAACTCAACCTGACAGGATGTGCCTTTTGCAATATAAAGTAAGAACAATGACAAGAAGTGAAATGAAGAACTTGTTGAAATTTTGATGATTTAACATTAAAATTCTCCTGAATTTCAATCATTTTCCTTAAATTCTGTTAAACTCAAAGGAGTCAAACTTTTGAGTTTAACTTCTCAAAGGTCAGCAGTTTTTGTTTAACCTGCATCAGATCAGGCTGGTGATTCTTATGTGTTCGGCTTCTCAGGTCAGCCCAGTTGGGCCGAGCGGGACCTCCGGGCCGAGCGGGACCTCCGGGCCGAGCGGGACCGGGCCGAGCGGGACCTCCGGGCCGAGCGGGACCTCCGGGCCGAGCGGGACCTCCGGGCCGAGCGGGACCTCGGTTCCCAGGAAAGCGTCTCTCAGCCCAAAAAGCAGCTGAGCCCCATAGAGGAGATCAGTGTGGAAGCAGCATCCCTCACTTCTCCTGGAGAACCGTTCGGGGGAAACTCCAGTCCACTGGACCAGAACCAGCACCAGGAGCAGCACCAAGACCAGCACCAGCAGCAGCACCAAGACCAGCACCAGGAGGGTCTCAGTCGGTCTCATGGTACAGAAGGTTCCTGGATTAGAAAATGAAACGGATGTTTTTGTCAGTGGGTTCTACAGAAATGGTTCTATGTTCTGGAGTTCTGTTTATCTTCCCGCTGTAGATCCCTGCGACCCGGAAGTCCGCAGACAGCTGTTGGAGCTTTTTGACATCACTTCCTCTCCAAACGTTCATTCGGAGCAGCGCCCCCTGCCTGCTGTTGAGGAGTGCAGCGTTCTGGACCTCGGTATTATTCTGAACTGGGTTCTGATTCATTAACTCTAGATTGGTATTTTTAATTTGTAGTTGTGGAGTTCCTCAGGGACGAGTCCTCAGTTACCAGAGTAAACTGGTTTTTGTCCCAGTTAAGGTTAATCTTTTGGTTTCAATTAGGCCTGTCATGATAACAATATATTGTCTCAGAAATTAAATCAATGATATTGATTTATCATGCAGTTAATTGATTTATTGGTTATTGTGACAGATTTCTGTTTGCATGTTAAATCCGCAGGTTTCAGTTTTTCTTTGTTTTTGTGAAAACTGGTTTTTCTCAGATTACATAGAAACTAAAACAAACATTTCTCTGTTTTAATTTATTTTCTGGCTGCTACAAATTAGAAAATATTTTTTCTAAACTCACTTATGATGCTGGTTTTTTCCATATTGGAAAACATGGAAAAAAACAGAAAATGTTTTCTTCCATGTGGATCTAAAAGCCTGGAGGTGGAAACAAGCCGCCATGTTTTCCCCAAACAGAAAGATGATCCCAGCAAACTCAGCCAGTCTGCATCCAGCTGAAAACATTCATTATAAAACAATTTTCTATAAAAATAATCACATTCCAGAATGTTTATGAACCCCGCTCTAAATATTAACGGCTTCAGACGGGACCTGCTGCTGATTGGCTGTGTGAGTCATGTGACACCGGGCCTGGAATTAAAGGAAACCCAGCTTTACTTTGCTTTGGCCACTAGGGGGCGACACATTCTTCATTCGAAGTAGACTTTTGGACAGAGGCAGCGTCTCCATCTTCAGAGCAGCTGCAGAAAATCAGTCTGTGTTTATAAAGGTGAGTCTTCCTGGTTCTGATGGGCCCAGCTGGCCCGCCCACCGCCTGCTGGTCATGTGACTGACTGATGCTTCCTGCTGCAGGTGGAGCGCTGCTCAGCCCCCTGGGATTTCTACCTGTTCACCCGCCTGAATGAGAACTCGCCGTCTGCCGACAGAGCTGCTCTGATCAGCTGCTTCCGGTTTGAGGACGGCTGCATCACCGTCTACAGGCTGCCAGCAGACCACCAGCTCACTGTGAGACCACTCAGTCAGTCAGTCAGTCAGTCATTCAGCCATCTTTACATATAAATTTGTTGGTCAGTGTTTCATTCATTATGAATCAAAAACAACTGTTTTTCAGCTGTTTTGCAGTTTTATAAAAGTTTGTTCCATATTTGTGGTGCATAGAAGCTGAATGCAACTCCTCCATGTCTGGTTCTGGTTCTGGTCAGCTCCACAGAACCAGAGGACCTCAGAGGTCTGGAAGGTTAAAACAATAAAAACCGCAGAATTTTTGTGTATTTTTAAAACGTTCTTCAGGTGACAGAAGGCCGACTTTGGAACCGTCTTTATGTGACTCAGAATGTTCAAACCCAGATTCAGTCACACACATAACTCCAGATCTATAACTCCAGATCTATAACTCCAGAGCTGTAACTTTAGATTGTTCCCCTTTATGTCCAAAGATAATAACTTCAGGTTCTGTTTGATTAAAAATCAATATTATGATTTATTATGCATCACCTGATTCTGTTATTATGACTTTAAAGAAGTTGTGATATTACAAAAATAAGGTCAGAATATTCTGTCTATTATTGTGACATTACCATTTTATTGTCATATTATTATGACTTTATTTTCATTATATTATACATTTTAAGATCTTATGACAAAGTCAAAATATTTTGAGAATAAAGTAAAAAAACTTTCTTAATATTTTGATTTTATTCTCATTCAGCAACTTTATTTTTGGAACATGTGATTTTTAAGAAGTTGTGATTTTATGAGAATAAAGTCAAAATATTAGAGTAAAAATGTTGACTTTCCTTCACTGGGTTCGGAGTCGCCTGCTGATGCAGAGCTGTGCATCCTGTGCGTCGTCCTGGTAACTGGTCAGTTTCCGCCGTGTTCTGTGGTCAGGTTGTATCGGACTGCGGTCCGGATCCGGCGTGCGTCGGAGCGAAAGCCGTCAGGCTGCTGGAGCTGGTGCTGCAGCTGCACGGCCGCAGCCTGCTGCATGCGGGGCTGCGGCCCGGCATCCTGGCCTCCTGCGGCGCCGCCGCGTCCCAGGACTGGATCTTCCCGCTGGACTGGTCGTCCTCGCTGGACCTGGATCTGCAGAAAGACGTCCGGTCCGTCCAGCAGATCCCGTCCGCTCAGGCCTACCTCAGGCTGGGTCTGCTGCAGCCCGCCGACCCGCCTCACACCGTGAGCACGCCCTCGTCACGTCGGACCCCCGGGTCAGAACGGGTCGGTTTCACCGGGTCTGTTCCGTTTCCTGTCAGGTGGACCTGGTGGGCGTGGCTGAAACCATCTACTTCCTGTTGACCAACAGCGAGATGAAACCAGAGAAACGCGGCAGCAGCTGGACAGTGGAGCAGTACGGTTCGACCCAATACTGTAGAACAGAAACACGCAGTCACAGGAAACTGGTTCTGTTTCCTGTTTCCATTACTGCTGGGGCAGTAATGGACCCAGTTCTGGTCCCAGCAGAACCAGAACCCCTCAGTTCTGTAAATGACCTTGAGAAATAATGAAAGTTGGTGATATAAAAGCAGGCTTTCATGCTGAGACATGATGTCATAGAAACGGATCAGAACCAGAGTTACGCTCACCTGGACTCACCTGGAGCCAGGTGAGTCCAGGTGAGTCCAGGTGAGTCCAGGTGGAGGAAACAGTTGAGCTTCTGTTCCCTCCATGAAGGCCAGTCTAATCAGTTTCAGGCTGTTTATGTGTGACTGACATAAACATGGTTATGTCCATAGCATTGCACTGGGTAAACTGGTTTTATCTACCACAGTAAACTGGTTTGTCTTACATTGTAACTGAAGTTTGAATGGCTGCCTCTGAGTCGAACACTAAATGTTTAAAATGATTCTTTCTTTCTGCTGCAGCGACGTCGTCACGACGGCCTGGCGAAGGTTTTTCGGTTCGCTGCTGAACGCCGGCGGTCGCTCTTCCACCTCCATCCTGTCGGAGCTGAAGGACGAGCTTTCCGAGCTCTATCTGTGAAGCATCCATGTTGTCTGTTTGATATTTGGTTTCATTAATAAAGGAAAACACTATTTGTTGCAGCTGCTGTCTGGCTTGCTCATTTGATCGTGGAACCAGCAGAGGGCGCTGTGTCAGGACGGCTGCAGGCAGAAACAGATTATTCTGACATTTCTGAAAAAAAATTCTGAAAGTTTTATATTAGCAGAATTGGTTTGGGAAAAAAATTGACTTTTCAAACTATATGCTTTTTTTCAGATAAATTCCTTTTTTCACTTCAACAGATTCTTTTTCTAGAATATTCCTAATATTTATTTAAAAATTTAAGTGGTTTTCTAAAAAAATTTTGAATTTTCCAACTTACAGATTTTATATTTATGGAAAATCTTTTCTGATTTGTTGCTAGCAAATTTTCAGCTGTTTGAAATGTACTACTTTTTTAAATTTGACTTTTCAGACTCAAAAATGTTCTTGTGTTTTCTAGTAAAGTTCTGAGATTATTCTCAAAGTTTCTTGTTTTTCTAGCAAAATTTAAACTTCTAAACTTCAAACATTTTTTCTAAAAAAAATTCTGGGTTTTTATAACAATTTATAAAAAATTAACTCAGAAAATCCCAATTTTTCTAAAAAAAAAAAAACATTCTGACTTTAATCTGAAAGTTTCTCAGTTTTTTATTTTTTGAGACTAAAAAATTCCAAGTTTTTTTCTAAAACCTTGAATTTGAAAATGCAAAACTTTCCATCTCATTTCAGACATTTTTATGATGAATTTCCACCTTTTTGAATCCCAGAAACTTTCTGAGTTTAATCCTTTTTATTTAATACACTGTTGTGGTTTTCAGATGTTTATTGAAGGTTTTTATGACAATAAAGCTTCATATGAAATGATTTATTAATAAGTTGAAACATGATTCGTCCATGCAGATGAAAATCCCCGCCTCGGTTCGGAGCTGTGGCGGGCGGTTCGGGCTGTTGAGTCACGTCGGTTCCGCTGAGCCCGGGGCAGAACCGGGCGTGCTGCTGCCTGCTCGGACCGGAGCCTCCTGCTCGCTGCTGGGGCCGCGGACCCGCCGCTCCCTGCGGCTTCAGCTCCAACTGCCGCTTCCTAACGCGAACTGGGCCGGTGGGCTTCAGGGGTCTGACCTCACATGTCCTTCTTCCACTAAATGTTCAATAGTAATAAAAATCTGAGTCTCGGGGTTCCTCCAGTCTGTCGCTGACCTGCAGGCTCCGCCCACTTACCTGGGACAAGGTGAGACGGGAGATGTGAGGAGGAGAGGAGCAGAGCGCGGCGGGATCTGGACCATCTGGACTCTACGGCCAGGTAAATACACCTGAGGCGGAACCGGATCCGGGTCACAGTTCTGCGGTTCCGACTCAAACGGGCCCTCAGAACCGTTCAGCTCTTTGTTCTCTGGAGAAAAACAGGTTTTAGTTCATCCTGTTGTTCTCAGCAGAACTTTGTCAGAACATCTGGATATGAGAGCGGTCAGTCAGAACCGGGTCGGAACCAGGTCTGGTTCGGAGCCCGTCCCGTCCGGATGTGCTGCTGTAAACTGATCCGCATGAATGAACGTTCAGCTGCAAACTGATCCGAGAGCAGCTCCATGTCTGACCCGGTTCATGATCCAGTTGAGCAACCGGGCCGGGTCTCCAGAACTCTGAGGTTCTGCTCTGCCAGCCCAGATGCAGTGTTTCTCTGCTGGGGTTCTAACGCGGTTCTGATGGTTCTGGTTCGGCCCACAGACGGGCCTGCACATGTCGGGTTTCTAAAGCAGCGCAGCCGCTAAACTTTCTCAATATTTTCTGCACAAACTCGTTTGTTTTGTTTCCATGCCACGCGTGGCGCCCCCTGTCGGTCACTGGTGGAATGCTGTAACTCACTGAACTCACTGTATCGATATTTTCCAACCGATTCGTTTAATTCATGAGAATTTACCATCATTATTGGTTAATTGTGGCAATAAATGATGACAAATTGACATATTATTGTTATTTGGAAATTTTATTTGTATCAGTTTTGGTTCTGATGCCAGTTTGGACCAGTTGGCGCCTTGTCCACAGACAGGTCATGACCTTTAGTTGAGCTCAACTAAACCTCAGGCTGGTAAGAGGTTTTATTAAACAGATTCTGTCTGATGGATGGGAAAAATTATTCTATTCCTGGAGTTTTTGGGAGTTCTGGTCCGATCTCCAGAGGCGCCAGGGTGAGAGGTGCGGTTCCACCTGGTTCTACCAGGTTCCACCTGGTTCTACCTGGTTCTACGTGGTTCTACCAGGTTCCACCTGGTTCCACCTGGTTCTACGTGGTTCCACCTGGTTCTACCTGGTTCCACCTGGTTCTACGTGGTTCCACCTGGTTCTACGTGGTTCCACCAGGTTCCACCTGGTTCCACCGGGTTCTACCTGGTTGCACCTGGTTCTACCCGGTTCCACCTTGTTCTACCAGGTTGCACCGGGTTCCACCTGGTTCTACCTGGTTCTACGTGGTTGCACCTGGTTCTACCTGGTTCCACCTGGTTCCACCTGGTTCTACCTGGTTGCACCTGGTTCTACCCGGTTCCACCTTGTTCTACCAGGTTCCACCGGGTTCTACCTGGTTCTACCTGGTTCCACCTGGTTCTACCTGGTTCCACCTGGTTCTACCTGGTTCCACTGGGTTCTACCTGGTTCCACCTGGTTCCACCTGGTTCTACCTGGTTGCACCTGGTTCTACCCGGTTCCACCTTGTTCTACCAGGTTCCACCTGGTTCTACCTGGTTCTACCTGGTTCCACCTGGTTCTACCTGGTCCCACCGGGTTCTACCTGGTTCCACTGGGTTCTACCTGGTTCCACCGGGTTCTACCTGGTTCAGCTTCAGGTGTTGATTCTGATCAGCTCTGATCCGTTTCAGACGCTCTGTGCCTGTTTGGGTTTTCAGCAGCAGGTTCTGTTGTACATAGAAAAAATGATCAAATATTTCTGACATTTTGAGATAATTCTCAGAAATGTTCTAGAATATATCAGTTTTTAAAGTTGAAAATTCTCAAATGTTGAAACCAAAAAATGTCTAAAGGTCAAACATTTTTTTACTTTTGACACTCAGATGTTTCCATGTATTTTTTCTAGTAAATTTTTGAGGTTTATTATCTCAAACCTTCTGAGTTTTTTTCTTTTTTGGTGGAAATTGACTCATTTTGATCTCAGCCCTAAAGCTCAGATGGAGGTTTAAGATTCTGGATCATTTGAAGGTTTCAGTGCAGCCATTTATTCTGACTGATAAATGATGTTCACGTCTAACTTTAGGCCTGTTCTAATAGATGTTTGCATATCTGACTTATTAAAATAACTTGAGGCAGAGTTTGGACGTGTTCAGAGTTAAAATAAAATCTCCCTTTTCATTTGATTTTTTTAAATTAAAAAATCATGAACCTTTTTCCTCTGGAGACTCATTTCTTCTTCAAGCTGCAGAGAACAAATTACTTCATATTTAGACTGGAATAAGGAGCCGAACCCGACCAGCTTTTTCAGTCACGAGCAGCTGCCACTGGAGGGCGCTCTCACTGCGCAGTCACTGGTTCCCAGGCTGGTTTCCAGGATAGTTCCAGGCTGGTTCCCAGGCTGGTTCCCAGGCTGGTTTCCAGGCTGCTTTCCAGGATAGTTCCAGGCTGGTTTCCAGGATAGTTCCAGGCTGGTTCCCAGGCTGGTTTCCAGGCTGGTTTCCAGGCTCGTTCCCAGGCTGGTTTCCAGGCTGGTTCCCAGGCTGGTTTCCAGGCTCGTTCCCAGGCTGGTTTCCAGGCTGGTTTCCAGGCTCGTTCCCAGGCTGGTTTCCAGGATAGTTCCAGGCTGGTTTCTAGGCTGGTTTCCAGGCTAGTTCCCAGGCTGGTTTCCAGGCTGGTTCCCAGGCTGGTTTCCAGGCTGGTTTCCAGGCTGGTTTCCAGGTTGGTTCCCAGGCTGGTTCCCAGGCTGGTTTCCAGGCTGGTTCCCAGGCTGGTTTCCAGGCTGGTTTCCAGGCTGGTTCCCAGGCTGGTTCCCAGGCTGGTTTCCAGGCTGGTTTCCAGGCTGGTTCCCAGGCTGGTTCCCAGGCTGGTTTCCAGGCTGGTTCCCAGGCTGGTTCCCAGGCTGGTTTCCAGGCTGGTTTCCAGGCTGGTTCCCAGGCTGGTTTCCAGGCCGGTTTCCAGGCTGGTTTCCAGGCCGGTTTCCAGGCTGGTTTCCAGGCTGGTTCCCAGGCTGGTTCCCAGGCTGGTTTCCAGGTTGGTTCCCAGGCTGGTTCCCAGGCTGGTTTCCAGGCTGGTTTCCAGGCTGGTTCCCAGGCTGGTTTCCAGGCTGGTTTCCAGGCTGGTTCCCAGGCTGGTTCCCAGGCTGGTTTCCAGGCTGGTTTCCAGGCTGGTTCCCAGGCTGGTTTCCAGGCTGATTTCCAGGCTGGTTCCCAGGCTGGTTTCCAGGCTGGTTTCCAGGCTGGTTCCCAGGCTGGTTTCCAGGCCGGTTTCCAGGCTGGTTTCCAGGCTGGTTCCCAGGCTGGTTTCCAGGCTGGTTCCCAGGCTGGTTCCCAGGCTGGTTCCCAGGCTGGTTTCCAGGCTGGTTTCCAGGCTGGTTCCCAGGCTGGTTTCCAGGCTGGTTTCCAGGCTGGTTCCCAGGCTGGTTTCCAGGATGGTTTCCAGGCTGGTTCCCAGGCTGGTTTCCAGGCCGGTTTCCAGGCTGGTTTCCAGGCTGGTTCCCAGGCTGGTTTCCAGGCTGGTTTCCAGGCTGGTTCCCAGGCTGGTTTCCAGGCTGGTTTCCAGGCCGGTTTCCAGGCCGGTTTCCAGTCAGAGACAGGAGCTGTCTGGTCATGTAGAGTTAGATTCCTCTGGCATGTTGGTGAGTCACACCCTGAAAACACACACCCCACACACACCTGGTGTGCAGGTAAGCAGCTGATCCTCAGTGTCCTGCAGGCAAACAAGCTGCATCGGTTTATTATCTGCTCTCGTTTTGATCAGAAATGACAAATAAATTCAAAATTTTACAGTTAAACTGCCAATAAATTGAAGTTTTACTGCCTGATCTATTCATGTAAAATTGTCAGAATATAAACATGAAGTAATTTAAATAAACCCATTAAGATGGAGTAAACAAAACTAGCTAGAAATTAGACAAACTGTTATTAAATTTTTTAAAATAATTATTGCTATAAGTTTTTATCATAATTTCTGTCTTTACATTTGTATTTTATTGAGAATCTCAAATTCCCCACACAAAGAGAATAACTGAAGTGACTTAAATTGTTTTTTAGTTTAGGTATAAAGCGGTGAGAGCTGCTGTTCTGAACGATATGATCCGTTTTCCTGCAGCGTTTCGCTGTTGAACATGAAAATCAATATGGAGTTAATCAATATGACAAGAACATAAAGATCTCTGCAGTGATTGTCTGTCTGTTCTGTTACTGTTAGCATCCAGGATTCAACATTTCCCAAAACTCGCTAATCTACCACTGCTGCGATTGATTAGCTGATTTAAACCCTGCTCTACTGAACGTCTGTCACAGTTGGTGCTTGTTGCCTTTTTTGTTCTTTACTAAACTGAAAAACCAAATTCTGCAGCACATGCACATGTTCTAATTGTCAAAGTCAACCTAGCATAGCTGAGCTACGTCCCTCTCCCTTGTTTCATAACCTTATAGTTGTTGTTGTTGACAGTTGGTAGCAAAGCACTGCATCAATTTTCATTTATAAATCTGGCGCATATTTAAGATTTAGCTCTTTATGTTGACAACTTGACAGCTACCACCAATGCTAACAGCTAGCGGTTCAGGATCGCTAGCTGTTAGCATTGGAGTTAAATGATTGTATTTTTGTTCTGGAACAGAGCAGAGGGAATCGCTAAGCCCCGCCCCTCTTGCCTCTTCCTCCTGTTTGCTGTCAGGGAGTGGAGGAGGATGTGGATGATCGGATCCGGTCGGCAGAGCCTGGTGGTGATGATGATGAAGATGCTTCATCCTCTCTGTGTTTCGTACAGGCTGAGGTGGAGCGAGGAGGTTCGGACCAAACCGGGCCGGGTCAGACCGACCCGAGGCTGAGGAACATCAACGCCCACCAGGTGAGACTGCAGAAAGGAGGAGGAAGTCAGAGCAGAACCTCTGAGGCCCGGTGAGAGGGAACTGGACCTGAAGGTTCTGGATGTTAAGGAGTCTTTGTTTGGGTTCATTAAAGTGAGTAAAAAGGTTCTTTTGGGTCCTTGGAAGGTTCTCCTCTGGTCCAGGTGTGGTATGGTTCTGCTGAGGTTCTACTGATTCCCAGAACCTCAGAGAAGGTTCTGGAACTGGTTCCGACTGATGAAGGTCAGAGACTTTGAGTCACGTTAGTTCTGAAGTTTCTGAGATTAGGTGAGGATTTTCTGAGATCCGTCAGAATGATTCATTCAGTCAGACGGGTTCTGTGACGATGATGATGCTCTTCATCATCATCGTCTCTCCGGTTCTGGTTCTGGTCTGCTGCTGATCTTCATCACATCCACAGAGACTCGTTACGCATCAGTTTGGCGCCGATCCAAACCGATCAGAACCGATCCAAACTCTCACCTGACAGTCCGCGATGAGCCGAGTCAGATTACCGGAACCAGAACCGTGAACCCAGCCTGTACTTTGGGCTGAAGGAACCGGGCCAGGTTTCAAACCCAAAACATACCAGCACAGCCGCTAAGAAGCGGTCCAAATGGTCCAAACGGGCCGCTTTAGGACAACAGCCAGATAAAATCTGAGCTTCTTAAAGAGACAGGTCAGATTTTTGGAGATGTGAGTCGTTAGCGTCTTCCATGAATTGGATCAGAACCTGAATGGACCCTGGTTCTGATGACAGACTAATCAGTCACAAAAGTATTTACATCCTGAAAAGTGACCCGGCTTCCCTCCCAGACAGGAAGTGCTTACAGTCAAACTGTCTCGGGTTCTGGAAGAATGAGCTTCAGAACCGATCCGATCTCTGGTGATACAATCTGGTTCTGAGGTCAGAGGTCAACTGCAAACTCTCCAGATTCCTGCAGTCACTGATGCAGACAGGTGAGATCTCATCTGGGCTGCTTGGTCGGTTTGAGGATCGGGTCATGTGACCCGGTTCAGGTGACCCAGTTCAGGTGACTCACCTGAGCAGGAAGAGCAGCCGCCACTTCTCCGCCTGCCTTCAGCGTCTCATCATGTCTCGGCCCGGCTGGAGTCACAGCTGCTGCTCTTCCCTTCGCAGCGCCGCTTCCTGTCGCTTCTTCCGGGTCCGGTCCGGCGGCCGGCGCCGCGTTTCCGTGGCGATGTTCCGGCGCAGGAAGAAGAAGCACCGGCTGGAGATCTCGGCGCCGCGGGACTTCCAGCACCGCGTCCACACGTCCTTCGACGTCTCGACGGGACGCTACGTGGGTCTGCCGGCGCAGTGGCAGAGCGTCATCGACACGCTGAAGAGGCCACGCCCCCTGGTGGACCCGTCCAGGATCACCAACATCGATCTGGAACCCAGAAAGGTCAGAGGTCAAATCCAATGTCTGAATTCTGGCAAGTGAAACTAATCACATTTTATTCTTTCCCTGAAAAAAAGAATACAACTATAGTTTATAGTTTTCTTTTTTTATAACATTTCTTTTTTAATTTTTTTGTGTCGCAATAAAAAAACATTTTCATGTTTTCTTGTTTAATTTATTAAAATCATGTTTCTGGTTTTATTTTTTCTTTGTTTTATTCCATTTTTTTAAAAAAAACCAAAGTTATTTTCTTCTTTACTTTTCTCATAACATATTTGTTTTGTTTTTTCCTCTTTTTGAATATTTATTACATCTTTAAAATATCCTTGTTTTCTTTCTTTTCATTCTTATTTCCATTTTCATAACATTTCTATTTTTGTTTTTTGTAAATTTCTATTTTCAATATTACCTTTGCTTTTATTTGTAATTTAGCAACGTATTAATATGTCGCAAAAATTGACCATATATGTGTATTTTTATCTTAAAATGATTTATTTAAATATACATTATTTTTCTCTAAACAGATATGTATCGAAATGAGAAAACGCTCACAGACCTTTGCTAGCTGACCGCTAACTTAAGAAGCTATTTGCCCTAACCTGAAAGCGCTAAACCAATAAGGGTGTTTGTGTAAGCTAATAAAGAGCTAATTTCAACCAGGATACAAAGGTCACAACACAATTAGCACAACTATTAGCGGGTTAGCGGTTTATCTGAGGTGTGGCCTCCGCTGAACTTGTTTAGCGGAAATGAACTTGTTTATCCCGGTTGTTCGTCAGCAGACGATCGTTCGCGGCAGCTTCATCGGCCATGGCGACTACATCAGTCACGTGATCTCTGAGATGAGCCGCGTCTCCGTCACCAGCTCCAACTCGCTGCGCCGCACCAGCCCGTCGGCCCGGAAACGCGCCCAGTCAATGGGGCGGCTGGGAGACGTGGCGGAGGACGAGTCCTACCACTACCTGGAGATCAGCCGGCGGAGCAGCAGCGTGAAGGCCGGCGGGAGCGCCACCTACTGGCAGGACCGCATCCGGCAGGTGCGCAGCGAGAGCGGCAGCCCCAGAGCGAACAGGAACCTGCAGAGAACCAAATCCAGCAGTCAGGTGAGCTCCGTATCGGAGGCCGCTCCGCACAGCCCCGCGTTGCCCCACAGGACGAGCTGCACGCCTGAACCCAGCGTCCGCAGCGGCGGCGGGCGGAAGCCGAGGCCGACCTCCTACCACCAGGCGGCAGAGAGCGGCAGGCCTCAGCTGAGAGCCAGAGCCCCAGCCAATCACCTGCCGGACCTGCTGTCGTCTTCCACAGAAACCCCCAGGAGGCCGCACTCGACCTATGACCTCAAGGTAAGACCTGGACCAGAGGTCAGGTTCGTTTATATTTATATGCAAAAACACAAGATCTTACAGAGAATTATTGATCCAGTTTCCAGTGCAAACATCTAAGAACACTTGAAATAAGATAAAACTTAGACTTAGACTTAGACTTGACTTTATTGATCCCTTGGGAAGACTCCCTCAGGAAATTATAGTGAAAACTGACTTATAAGTAACGTTTCAGCAAGAAATATGAGCTGATTTTGAGTCAATAACTTAATGTTGATTAAAAAAAAAACTGAACGTTCAATTCAATGATTATTTAACTGAAAACATGGGAAAATATTTAGTTAGAAGTGAAATAATCTGTCAGTGAAATAAGCACTTTTTAAAAATCAGCATTAAGAAATTAATGATATTATCACAAACCTATGGATAACAATAATAATAATGATAATATTGGTGATTGTACATAATAATCATTTGGCATCAGAATAATTACCAACTCTGCTAATGTTCATCTGATGAATTCTTCATAATCTGTGTTATATAACTACAAATGAGTAATAATATGAAAATCAAAACAGAAAAAAAACTAATGATGATAATGATTGTAAAATAACCATAATAATCTACTAATATGGTAATAATTACAGAAGATAGGAAGAAAAACCTCAAAGAGTAGCTATTGCTAATAGCCGTTGACAAAGCTACTCTTCCTGGGGTTCACATCATAAATAAAACATTTATTACTAAAACAACCCAGGAAGAATAATTTCTGCTGCAGTAGAGACCATTGCTTACTTAACTCAATCTGTCTGTTGCTCCAGCCGCCATCTTCCCGCCCCCGGCTGCCTCCGCCCAACAGCACCAGCAGTCCCGTCATCTCTGGCAGAGTGCTGCCCCAGCCTTCACCTCGCGCCTCCACAGGGGTCGATGTTTCCACCAAACGTGCCTCCTCGCCGCCCCAGCCGAGCCCCGCGCAGCCAAGCCGCCCCCCGTCCTCCACTCCTCCTGCCGCCCCGGACAGAGCGCCCCAGAAGGTGACCCACGAACAGTTCAAGGCGGCGCTGAAGATGGTGGTGGACCTGGGCGATCCCAGGGTCACTCTGGAGAACTTCGTGAAGATCGGGGAGGGCTCCACTGGCGTGGTTTGCATCGCCCGGGAACGGCACAGCGGGCGCCAGGTGGCGGTGAAGATGATGGACGTGAGGAAGCAGCAGCGCAGGGAGCTTCTCTTTAACGAGGTACGGGTCAACTTCAACCAGCTAACCACAACTAACGAAAACTGAAAACATTGAATGACAGTGGTTGGTAAAACACCTTTTTCCACAACACTGAAATAAATAAAAACAATAATTAATGGGAAAAACTATAACAACGTGGAACTATATCACAAATTTATAAAACTAAAACACACTGGAGTTATGGATACAATATCCTTTGTTTTCGGGTTTTTGAATCTATTCATTAGCCTTTTGAACTGATAAGAAACAAGCGGTTTACATCAGCTGTTGGCAGATTGCTTCACCCCTGCTTATGCTAGTCCACAAAATGGCACCAGCAAAAATTGGGACAAAAGTCCAGAGTCAGCTGGTTGTTCAACAATAATGCAATCAATATTTTAAAAAATGTATCGTGTTGAGTTTTCATTACCCAATCAATGTAAACAAGATCACAAAACTTTGACATTTCTTAATTCTGCACTAAAAAATTAACCAGAATGTGGAAAAACTTAAATTACTACTACATGCAATAAAAACTAAGCTAAAACTAAACAGTTTTTAGTTAATAAAAATAAGAAAACATGCTCTAAAAAATAATTAAAACTAACTTATTTTGTAAAAATAACTAGACTATAATGAAAAACCCAAACTGTTATCACCCTGGTGATAGATTTATCACTTTCCCATCTTCAAGTTGGATGTAAAGCAACATAAAGCAGGTGTTTTCTGTTTTCCCCCAGGTGGTCATCATGAGGGACTACCAGCACCCCAACGTGGTGCAGATGTTCCGCAGCGCGCTGGTGGAGGATGAGCTGTGGGTCATCATGGAGTACCTGCAGGGTGGCGCTCTCACACATATCATCGGTGAAACCAGGTGAGCAGCCGCTCCAGATGATGCAGGCTAGGTTCTCAGATGGGAGTACCTAGAGATGTTTTGGTGTTCAGGCTGAACGAGGAGCAGATAGCGACGGTGTGTGAGGGCGTCCTGCAGGCGCTGTCCTACCTCCACTCTCAGGGCGTCATCCACCGAGACATCAAGAGCGACTCCATCCTGCTCACCTGGACGGCAGGGTAAGCTTCTCCAGGTTTTTTGGGGGAAATTTGTCAAAACACTTCCTGAAAGGAAAGTCTGAACCTTAAACAACTCCGCACAGGACAGTGGAACACACACATACTTGTTTATATGGCACGGTGGGAACGTTAGATAAAACCATTCATAAAGGGGTCTACTCTGAATTCCTAATTATACACCATTTTAGAATAAGATAGAGGCGGGAAAAAATAAACTAAAAACAAATCATTAATTTAATTTTGTTTAATAAATTTAGATCAATAAACTATATTTTATAAGACTTTTTTTAAATAAGCCCACCTGGTTTATGCAAGAAGTACATTTTTATCCTGGATGTCATCTTGCGGACCAAATCCAAAATGATGGGAACATAATCTGAGTTCTCATTGCTTACAATAAATCCCATTTTGTTGGTTTATTTCTCTCCATTTTTGAGAACAGGCCCATTAAGTTTTTGTATTAGTTTGTGCACTTCAATAAAAGATGGCATCATGAGGAAAAACCTTTAAGTAGAAGTATTGAAGCAACATCAAGCTCAGGTACAGACTGGTCATTAGTGTATGTAAACTTCTGATCTTGATGACAAAAACTAATAAATCTGACCAATTATCTCAGTATTGAGGCTCTTAGTAAAATAATTTTGTTGATTTTGATCTGAAAGAAGATAAGTTTGGTCTGATTTAACTTCAGATTGAGAGAAATAGACGGTATATGTAAACTTCTGGTTTCAGCTGAACAATAAGCCATCAGTTCAGATAAACAAAACTTGAATGGGCCGCAGAACATTTCAGCTTGTTCATGTTTTTAGTTTGTGAGAAATTTCTTCCAGGCAGGGAGGAGAAAATGTGGCTTGGCAGCATGTTTCTACTGATAACATCTAAGTCATTACATCCCATAACAGAAACTGCATCTAGTAGTTTATTAACGAGCCGAAGTTGACTGTAAACCCAGGCAGTCAGACCGTAAATGCCAGCAGTAACTATTTATTTCCTACTGCAGGGTTTGCTCCAGGCAACTAATTTTTGTGTTAAAGTGACACTTAACAAGAAAATTATTTCAGCTCTGCTGCCTTTACATTCTCCTGATGGGAATTACAGGAATGCACGACGGCTTATTAGAGCAACTATAGATAGGAAAACGGGACATTTTCACTGAAAAAACTAAAGAAAAACTGGAAACATCTGGGGAAAAAACTCTAAATTTCTGAACACAAAAACTCAAGTTGAACATTTTCTTTTTTTTTTTTTTAAACTTTATTTTTATTTCGTTTTAAACAGGTAGATATACAATTACAGAACACAACAAAACACGAGGGCTAGGACAGGTGACAGTCAACCATACTGAAAAAAAAATGTATGTTGCATTTCCATAAGTATTACAAAGTATTAAGTCCTGTATCAGGAGAAAAAAAAATGTGAACAGGTAAAGAACCCCATTTGCCCGCTCAGGTGGGGCAGATTCCCACAAATCACTGTTAATCGCCTCTGGCAATGAACCATTCCCACCGTTCCCAAAGTTCCACTCCTTTCTCCTTCTGAAGTCGTATTCCAAATGTCAGCGTCTCCATGTCGTGGATCATATTTATAATATTCACCAGGAGTTTCAATGAAGGGGAGCCTGGCTGGAGCCAACACTTAGTGATCGCCTTCTTGCTGGCGACCAAAACTATCTTCAGGAGGTATGTATCCCCTTTGCTAAGTCCTTCAGGGAGTATTCCAAGATACAGAACAGTGAATGACAAGTCCAGATTTATACCCATAACTTTATATATCAGTCGATGTACGTCCTTCCAAAAAGTCTGTAACTCCGGACAATCCCAAAAAACATGATAGTGGCCTACCGCAACCACTCCGCACCCCCTCCAGCACGGGAGCTGTGACCCATCCATCTGAAAGTTGAACATTTTCAAGTGCAGAAAAAAAACTTTGAAATGTAAAAATTAATTTCACATATTTTCTATCTTCCATCCTGCTGCAGATAAAATTGTCCGACTTCGGTTTCTGCGCTCAGATCAACACTGACGTCCCAAAGAGGAAATCTCTGGTCGGGACTCCGTATTGGATGGCTCCAGAAGTGATCTCCAAAACGCCGTATGGCACAGAGGTGAGGTACTGGTTTGTTTTGATTTATCGAAAAAGTCATGTTTTTAATGTGTTGAAATGCAATGGGTAAGAATGTAGATATAGTTTACATAAGGTAAAAGCCTGAGAAGCAATGTTCAACTGGACAGCATCTTATAAACGGCACGTAACGTTTAAATCGGTCCCCCAGGTGGACATTTGGTCCCTGGGCATCATGGTGGTGGAGATGGTGGACGGTGAGCCTCCATACTTCAACGAAACACCAATCAGTGCCATGAAGAAACTGAGAGACGAACCAGCGCCAAGTGTCAAGAACATGCAAAGGGTCAGAAACACACACAGTCGTGTTTTCATCACTTATGGGGACTTCACATCGACTTCCATTAATTTCTACAGCCTAACCCTTGCCTTAACCTTTACCCTAACCCTAACCATCACAGACATAACCACTAACCCAAAAACAATATCTCTTATGAGGACCAAGAAAATGTCCCCACAAGGAGAATGTCCACATAACCCCACATTGTACACAGAAATAGGTTCCCATAAGGATATGAAATCATGGCACACACTGTCAGGTGAGAGTTGAGAGAGAAGAAAAATGCAGCTAACAGTTTGTTTAAGTTTTTCCAACATTAAAATTGATTACTTTTTGAAGAAAAATTGTTTTCACTCTTTATACAAACATATGTATTTCTTTCTAAATTATTTTTTGCAGTTTTTGCAAACTTTATGACCCTAATTTAGCTCCATACCATAAAGTTAGTCAAAAAAGTAATTACAACAGAAAAGAAATTGAAACAGGGAAATTTTTTAAAATATATTTGTTAAGTAATAATGATAAAAAACAATTAAACAAACAACCGCACCGATCGATATTATGTTATTAAATAATAATAAAAACAGTTGTTCTCACAGAAGTTTGATGGCGCAGTATTTTATTAGCAGCAGAACAATGATGCAGAAATAAATCCTATTTCAGCCTTTCAGCCTCTCCAGGTGTTCTCCAGCTGATGGTGTCCATGTTGGCTGCAGGTTTCTCCGGTGCTGAAGGACTTCCTGGGCTGCATGCTGACACGTGACACGCTACAGCGCAGTGGCGCCGCCGCTCTGCTGCAGCATCCCTTCATGCTGCAGGCCACCGCGCCGCGCTGTCTAGTGCCACTGGTGGAGCAGCATCGCAAACGTATGTCGCTCTGCTGAGCCTCACCTGGAGCCACAGACTGGAGGATCCTCGGGCGGATCACACCAGAGACTCACCTGGGATCACACCTGATGCTTCAGGATTTACATAATACATCTGAAATCCCAATAAAGACTAACCTCAGGATTCACCTGGAGCTTCAAAAGGACCACATGTTTCCTTTCTACTTTTATTTTTTTCATTTTTATTTAATTTTTTTACTTTTATTTTCTTTTTGATTTTACTTTTCTTTTTGTTTTTAGTTATTCTATTTTATTTTTATAGAGATGTTGAGGAACCTTTTCAGTGTTTAGGGTAGGAAATGAAAGGGAGGCGATGTGCAGCGAAGGTCCAGAGGTCAGGGGTCGAACTCCAGATTACAGCTTCCAGGATAAATAACCTCTGAACTCGAAGCGGGAGCTGCTGCAGCAGATTTTACATTTATAAACTTCAACATTAATTTGATCTTTTAAAACATTTCATGTTCCTTCTAATTTTAGCTAAAATTTTTAAATTTACATTTTCAGTTAAAATAAAAACAATTCCAAACAAATTGGAATAAATAAGTCAGGTTTTATTCTGATTTCAGATCAAATCACATTTCATGTTGATATAATTAACAAACAGCTGAGAAATTAAACAATAAGTTCTCATATCATCAGAAATATTTCAGTTTATTTGTAATTATATTGATTTATTAACATTTGCACTTGTTCACATTTTGATGTTTGTGAGTTTTTGTTAAATAAGGGTAATGTTGAATAAATATCAGTGTTCTTCTGTCACATTGCCAGTTTCTGCTTTAATTCTGCTATTTTATGAGCAATATTACATTAAACTTAAAATGATTTAATTTTTATTAATAAATGATCAGGTTAGACTTATAGGTAAAGCAGGAGCAAGATGTACGCAGAGCCATTTTAGTCAAAATTAGATACTGTTATTAACTCCAGTGCTGAAAGACTTCCTGGGCTGCATGCTGACACATGACACACGATACCGGAGTAGCGCTGCCGCTCTGCGGCAGCATCCCTGCTGCAGCATCCCTTCATGCTGCAGGCCACCATGCTGCAGGCCACCATGCCACGCTGTGTTGTGCCACTGGTGGAGCAGCAGCGCAAACGTATGTCGCTCTTCTGACATACGTGAGCAGGCGACATATTATTGGTTTTGATTTCAACCAAATCATGAAACAAAAAATAAATAAATAAATAAAAACAACATATATATATATATATATATATATATATATATATATATATATATATATATATATATATATATATATGTATATCTCAAGTGAGGCCAACTGCAAACCACTTGCACAAGTGTCCATCAGATGTGGCACATACCAAGGAGATGCTCTGTCCCCGCTACTGTTCTGCATAGGCCTGAACCCCCTCAGCCAAATTATCAACAAGACTGGCTACGGATACAGACTCAAAAATGGGGCCAACATCAGTCACCTCCTCTACATGGATGACATCAAGCTGTATGCCAAGAGTGAGCGAGACATCGACTCACTGATCCACACCCCCAGGATCTACAGCACTGACATTGGGATGTCATTCGGACTAGAGAAATGTGGTCGGCTGATCACAAAGAGGGGGAAGGTGATCCGCACAGAAGGGGTCTCACTCCCACAAGGAACAATAGCAGACATAGAGGACAGTTACAAGTACCTAGGTATACCACAAGCAAATGGCAACCTCGATGAGGCCACAAGGAAAGGAGCCACAGCTAAATACCTCCAACGAATAAGGCAAGTCCTGAGAAGCCAGCTCAATGGCAAGAACAAAATCCGTGCGATAAACAGCTATGCCCTGCCAGTAATCAGATACCCTGCTGGAATAATCAGCTGGCAAAGGAGGAGATAAAAGCCACAGATATTAAGACTAGAAAGCTACTAACCATGCATGGAGGGTTCCATCCCAAATCCAGCACCCTGAGACTGTACACGAGCCGCAAGGACGGAGGCAGAGGACTAGTGAGTGTGAGAACCACTGTCCAGGACGAAACAACTAAGATCCATAATACATCAGGGACAAAGCCTCAACAGACAATGTGCTCAGTGAATGTCTCAGACAACAGGGAACGGAGGTTGAGGTGCCAGAGATACCATCATGGGAGGACAAGCCCCTACATGGGATGTACCACCAGCAAATAACCCAAGTGGCTGATATCAGTAAATCCTACCAATGGCTGGAAAAAGCTGGACTCAAGGACAGCACAGAGGCCCTCATCCTGGCCGCCCAGGAACAGGCCCTAAACACCAGAGCAATAGAGGCCCAGATCTACCACACCAGACAAGACCCAAGGTGTAGGTTGTGCAAGGAGGCCCCTGAGACAGTCCAGCACATCACAGAGGGTGCAAGATACTGGCAGGGAAAGCGTACATGGAGCGACATAACCAAGTGGCAGGCATAGTGTACAGAAACATCTGTGCAGAATATGGACTGGAAACCCCGAGATCAAAGTGGGAAACACCCCCAAAGGTGGTGGAGAACGCCAGAGCTAAGATCCTGTGGGACTTCCAGATCCAGACAGACAGAATGGTAATGGCGAACCAACCAGACATTGTCGTAGTGGATAAACAACAGAGGAAAGCCGTTGTGGTAGATGTAGCAATACCAAGTGATTGCAACATCAGGAAAAAGGAGCACGAGAAACTGGAGAAATACCAGGGCCTCAGGGAAGAACTGGAGAGGGCCTGGAAGGTGAAGACACAGTGGTGCCTGTGGTCATCGGGGCCTTCGGGGCAGTAACCCCAAACTGGAGCAGTGGCTACAACAGATCCCAGGAACAACATCAGACATCTCAGTCCAGAAATGTGCAGTCCTTGGCACAGCCAAGATACTGCGCAGAACCCCTCAAGCTCCCAGGCCTCTGGTAGAGGACCCGAGCTCAGAGGATAAGAACCACCCGCGGTGGGTGAGAAGGGAATTTTTTTATTATAAATTTTGGATCTTATGTTGTCAAAATTTATTTATTAACTTATTTATGTAATTTTGAAGAAAATGGCTTTCCATAAACATTTGAGTCCAGATGTTCATGATTATTTAATTCCATTTTAAAAACAGATTTATCTCATTATGACGCTGATGTTTTATATACATTAAAAACACAAACATTTTCGACTTACATCTCCTTACAAAAGTATTCACACCCTCTCAGTATTTTCCCCTTTTGTTCAATTAAAACCACAAATTTTTATCATCTCCAGCTCAGATTGGATGGAGAACATCTGAATATGTCAGTTGCTAAGTTTAAAACTTTATTTAGCTGCACAGCTTAACTCTACTGCCACCTGCTGGAGCGGCATCTTAATGACACATTTTCAGGTCTGTGTGATGTCAAACTGGTGACCTCTTCTTTTTAGGACATAGAGCTCAGGATATTGGGATGTTGAAGTTTAAGGAGTTTTAAAGAATTTGGTTTTATTTTAATAAAACAACAATGTGGTTGTTGCATCAACTTTCTGCCAAGTTCAGAAAATCAAAGGTTTGTTTGGTTACTTCAGATCAGGAACTAAGGCCATAATTCACACATTTCCTGATCAGGTTGGTTTGATTTCTGGATTTCTTTTTGTGAACAACAAAAATCTTTGATCCAATAAAGAATCTTAATCTGAAAATAGTTTTCCTGAATAAAAAACAGATCAGAGCAGCTGCAGGAGTTTAATACCAACACATTTCTGAGGCTGCAGATAAAACGCGTCAGGTTTCTATTTCCAGACTGAAGAGTTGGAGATAAAGAGACACAAACCCTTCAGCTCATCACAGACCACTCATCATATCAGCAATTAACAGAAACATGTTTCCTCTTGTTCTAAAAGGTTAAAGAGGCTTTTGATAAAATGTCAGATGTAATTTTATTATTTTAATTTAATCAGCTGCTTTTATTGTATCACAAACGGTTTGTTTTTCTTGGATGCATGCCTGGAGGATGGCTTAAGAGGGATAAATATCTGTTTGTCTTTCATCTTATTGGCAGCATACAAAAAGCCCTCAACTTAAAATTGTCTTTCACTTGAGATCAAAATTAAACATGTAGTTGGACATCACCATGGAGATAAACAGAATTAGGAAGGAGAGGACATTTTTCCTTTTTAAAATTGTAATTATTTTTATTTTGTGTTGTAAAAGAAAAAAATGACATTCAAAAACCTATTTATCTGAACCAAAGCAGAGGGATATGATCAATGTGTTCATGAATGTCAAAAAGTAAATACAATTTTAAAAAGCAGAGAAAAGATAACTTTTAAATCTTGTTTCTGTGTTGATATCATTTATTCACCGAAATGAATAGAAAAATGATGATCAGATAAAGTTAAGTAACTTTGAAAATATCTTTTAGATTCAGTTTCATTTTAATTTCGTAAAATAAGAGAAAAACTGAAAACACGAACATTTTTGAATTATTTGAGGTTATTCCCTTTAATTTAATTTAATATTTTGCATGGAAATGTGATCAATCAAATATACAAAAAAATCAATTGTCAATCACTTAACCAGATGATACTTGAAATCTAAATATCAGTTTGCATAAATTAATTTTGGAAATTTAATAGTCGCTAACTTTAACCATCTCAAATCTCTTTTTTTCCATGAATAAAAAAGTAAATTCTAATAATCTTTATGCATAATTTTGAAAAGTATTATGTTTTGTTCTCTAGTTACTTGAAAGATGCTTGAGAGTTACACTGGAGTCTAAACCAAGACCATCTATCAGCAGACAGATAAGCAGCGATTCTCTGGTTCACCTCAAAAGGACTGCAACACCCAAAGGTCCAGAATCTGCCCTCCTAGTGCATTCAGAGACACATTTAGATCTGCAGCTGCTTCTGTCTCACCAGATATCTCCTAATTTGGTCCAAAGGGAGGATTTATAAGTCTGAGTCCTCTTCACCAAGCTGCAGTTCTGCAGAGGGACTGGAAGTGAAACGTTTCATTCTTTAGCTGTTCTTCTGTCTACCGTCCACCATGGGTGATGCTCTGATGGCCGAGTTTGGGAAGGCTGCCCCTTTCCTGAGGAAGTCTGAAAAGGAGCGCCTAGAGGCTCAGACCAGACCGTTTGACATCAAGACTGAATGTTTTGTTGTGGATGATAAAGTGGAGTACATGAAAGGTCAGATTGTCAGCAAAGAAGGAAGCATGGTGACCGTCAAGAAGGAAGACGGCACAACAGTGACGGTGAAGGATTCGGATGTTCATCCCCAAAATCCGCCCAAATTCGATAAAATCGAAGACATGGCGATGTTTACGTTCCTCCATGAGCCGGCGGTGTTGTTTAACCTCAAAGAGCGCTACGCTGCATGGATGATTTACACCTACTCTGGGCTCTTCTGTGTCACCGTCAACCCTTACAAGTGGCTCCCAGTCTATGACTCGGAGGTGGTGGCAGCCTACCGGGGAAAGAAGAGGAGCGAAGCGCCCCCTCACATCTTCTCCATCTCTGATAACGCCTACCAGTACATGCTGACCGACAGGGAGAACCAGTCTGTCCTCATCACCGGAGAATCTGGTGCAGGAAAAACAGTGAACACTAAGAGGGTCATCCAGTACTTTGCCAGCATCGCTGCGGTTGGAGGCGGAGCCAAAAAGGACAGCAGCAAGGGGACTCTGGAGGATCAAATCATCCAGGCAAACCCAGCACTCGAGGCCTTTGGCAATGCCAAAACGCTGAGAAATGACAACTCGTCTCGCTTTGGAAAATTCATCAGGATACACTTTGGTACAAGTGGGAAACTGTCATCGGCCGATATCGAGACGTACCTGCTGGA